ATGTTTACCTTGCTTCTTCTTAGCCCCTAACCCAATTCATATGGGAGTGATGCTGCCAAAGCAGTGAGTCTATATCACGACTAAAGAACCCTGAGCTTAGCAAAGCCCCAGCCTTTTAAGGTGTCGGCCAGAAAATCTTCCCAATATTTTCCTTGGAGGGAGACATTTTGTTTACTATTGTGGTCAAGAAAAAGAAAAAACCTGCCCTCTACCCCAGAAGGAAGCACCACCTCTATCTTTCACGACTGTTTAGCTATATAAAGATCCTTGGAAAAAAAGAGTTCAGAACAGAAGCTGATTAAAAAAAAATGTACAGAAATTCCATAGAGAAATGTCTCCTATCCGACACGCTACAGAGTAGAATTGCAGGAAAAAACTTGAAGTCAAGAGATAATTAGATATGTTTCTTTATGTCTATTATTATAGAAATAGGCAATGGCTAACTGCTACTGCCAGTCATGTTGATCTACATTAATATCACTGATATAGACCAATATTAGCGACAGAACGTATGGAAAGATGAAATTATCTCAGTAGGTTAACTCTGCCAGTTTCCACGTAATTACTCATAACCTGTTAAGCAAAAAAAAGAAATTAAAACTTTAGACGCTGTTATTATATTATTTTGAAAATTGCTATCTTTGTTAATATAAGCATCGTTGAAGAATACGTGACAATGCATTTTATTTGAAATTATGGTTAAAATCAGTTTGGACCTTCTGTGTATTTGCATTATTACATAAACACGTAAATTCCACTTGAAAAACATTAGGAATCTATGTAGATTTAAATTATTCTAATTTGACTCTTTTAAGAACTATTTAGGTTCATAATATCAATTATCTCAGGTAGTTGGCCTTTCTCTGGAAGTCTTGCTCTTCTTTCATGGAGATAAAATTATTCAGAAGCAATTATAATTTCCCTCTTGATTATTCTAGATTGTTTTTTAAAACTGGGTTGAAATACTTGCTGTAATAACCCTGAGAGGGCTAAGCTTTTTAATGAGACTATTATGAGACTACATCCAAGGATTTCTTGTGTTTTGTAGTGCTTATGCTATGAAATAATAAAATCTCCTTACTATTTTCTTGAAGTCAATTTAGAGAGACTATAGACAATCTTAAAGCTGAACTTTAAGTTGAGGAGGAATCTGGTCAGGTCAATTCCTGTTGTGACTGGAAATATTTTTAAAAATCTAAAGACTGTTAATGGTGAGGCTTACTAATTATAAAGTAGAAATTAATCGAACTACTCTTCAGTAAGTGCCTAGTTTTAGGCTTGGCAACGTATGGGTTCAAAAGAAGAAAAAGTACCTAAGATCTAGGATCTGCGCAAGACTTGAAACTCAAAATAAGGAATGTTTATTTATTATCATTAGTCAATTCTGAAGATTTTGAGAGAAAAGTTTGATCCTGGAGACAGTCAGACATGCCCTGAGGGCACTTCTCCTTTGTTCTGATTCCCGTCCTCACTCCCAGGTGCTGCTGTGCAAAGGCACCTTGTGTTTGAATAGGAGACCAAGGACCTCTTCCCTTTGGGTTTATATTTTCATTCACATCTACACACGTGTGCATCTACGCCATTTCTTATTTTCAAGTCATCTTAGAGAAATGACATAACAGAGAAATTGCTGTTTCAGTGTGTTGTTACTGAGAAAGCTTAAACAGGGAGGAAATAGTACCATACAACTATGCATTTGGTGTTGGATTAACTAGGCGGAGACCAAAGAAACAGGCTTACCTTTATTCTAATTGAATATTTAATTCACTACAGTGATTCTTTTGGCCTTAAATAAGTATCTAGATTTATTGTGGTAGCTTTTTTTCCCCCTAGTTCCACAAACCACGTGCCTTGTGCCTTGCTGCTGACTCTTTAAGCAGTTTCCTGCAGGCCTGGCTCAAGACTCATGTTCCCTCTTCCCTTCTTTGCTGCTGGGGAGAAACAAAGATTCAGGAAGTTTTATGTAAAAAGTTCTGGAAATGTCACCTATGTTTTCTTGGTATCACTTATTCTTGGGGTATGTATACAATTCGTGACAGTTCTTCAGCCTGAACTACTTATTCAAAATAGAATTTAAAGCCATTAGAACAGGGCTCAGTGTCCATAGCACAGTGGTTGCAGTGTCAGCCACATGTACCAAGGCTGGGGGTTTCAAACCCAGTCCAGTTCTGCTAAACAACAGTGACAATGGCAACAAAAAAATAGCCGGGCACTGTGACAGGCGCCTGTAGTTCCAGCTACTTGGAAGGCTGAGGCAAGAGAATCACTTAAGCCCAAGAGTTTGAGGTTGCTGTGAGCTGTGATGCCATTGCACGCTACTGAGGGTGACAAAGTGAGACTCTGTCTCAAAAAATATAAATAAATAAATAAAACCATTAGAACACAGGTGGAAGGATTATCCTTGTTTCTCTTAGCAATAAACCAGTTTGAGATAATACAAGGCCTTTTAGAGTCCATGAAACAAATTATTTACTTAAGCAATTGCCACATATTTATTTCTCTTCCTAGACTCTGATCTTCTCAAAGACAGCAGGAGAATAGTAACAGTTTCAATTTGTAAATACTCCTACTTAACCAAATTCTCTTTTTTTTTCTTTCTTTTTGTTTTGAGACGGAGCCTCAAGCTATCCCCCTGGGTAGAGTGCCATGGCATCACGCTCACAGCAACCTCCAACTCCTGGGCTCAAGCGAGTCTCCTGCCTCTGCCTCCCAAGTAGCTGGGACTACAGGCGCCCGCCACAACGCCCGGCCATTTTTTGGTTGCAGCCATCATTGTTGTTTGGCGGGCCTGGGCTGGGGATTCGAACCCGCCACCTTGGGTGTATGTGGCTGGCGCCTTAGCCGCTTGAGCCACAGGCGCTGAGCCACCAAATTCTCAATAATTGATTATAGAATATGGAATAAATGGAGGAAAAACACTGCATAAAATCCTGATACATAAAGAGATAATTTGGAATGAAATAATATTTTCTAGAACTATTAACTATACCTGAATTTTTCTCCTTCTTGCAGAACAGCTAAGTAAAAATAACCATCAAAGATATGTGCTAGTGCCTTGTCTTTTCATTAATTCCTGTCTCAAATATATATATTTGAGCTACTTGGAAGGCTGAGACAGGTGTCATGCTGGTGTCTGTAATCATAGCTAGTCAGGAGGCTGAGGAAAGAGAATAACTTAAGCACAAGAGTTTGAGGTTGCTGTGAGCTGTGATGCCACAGCACTCTATCAAGGGTGACAACCTGAGACTTTATCCCTTGGGAGAGTGCTGTGGCATCACAGCTCACAGCAACCTCAAACTCTTGTGCTTAAGTGATTCTCTTTCCTCAGCCTCCTGACTAGCTATTATTATAGGCACCCAGCATGACACCTGGCTATTTTTAGAGAAGGGGTCTCAGTCTTGCTTGGGCTGGTTTGTCACTCTTGAGCTCAAGCAATCCACCTGCCTTGGCCTCACAGAGTGCTAGGATTATAGGTAAGAGCCACCACACCCAGCCTAATTCTTGAGTATATTTATTTATGAGATAGAGATAGTAAAAATTTTTGACTTACCTGCCTCACAGGTTATAATAACAATCAGTTAAGATTATCAATAGAAACCCTTTGAAAAGGAAAACTACAGACCCAACATAAATAAAAAATGGTATTATAATTATTGTGGATGTAGTTATTTCAGTGACTCTTATTTAAAATAAATCTTCGAAATTGTTAGTTATCAGTGAAATAAAACATAGAGACAATCTGTATATTTAAAATGTTTGATTTATGAAGCAATAATTGTAATTTGGGGCATACACGCAGACCAAGTAATCTGGTAAACACGTGTCCGAAGAACAAAGAGGAAGTTGGGAATATTATAAAAAGGAGAAATGTTGTGTACTGTGTTGCAACAAAGGTTTCTGGCACTAGTAAAGTTTTAGGGGACTGGCAAACTCCAACTGGTGAGTGATGGTGACGGCTAAAAGTAGTATTAGAGTCACAGCAGATCATTTCCATAGCAATTGGGTAAAATAGGCGGTTTCTTTCAAGTTACTATGGGCAAAACTTCTTCCAGGTTTGCAGAGAAATTATATTCTCAAAGCAATGCTGTGCACCCAGAAAGCTTTTCCCCCCCAGCCTCTCAAATCCATTTTAATTGAGTATGGCAACAGTGTCCCAATTTATATGCTCATCTTTCACATAGTAGAATAATTATTGTCAGAAAAACTTAAAACTTTCTCATTCACAGAGATGACTGTCACTACTATGTTGTTTTTGTATTTTCCATAAACTGAAGTGAAACAATATGCTGTTATTATAACAAAATTTACTTTATTATTACAACATATTAAACTTTGCATAATGGAAACCATTTTATAAGTTTCATATGGATATCAGATTTGGATATAAAGTATGTTAAATTGGAGATATTGTTATTTTTATTGTATATGTTTAAGGCGAACAAAATGATATTTTGATCTACCTATTGAAATGGTTAAAGTAGTCAAGCAAATTGACCATGTCCATCATCCCTTGTAGGTATCATTTCATATGCGTGGTAAGACCATGTAACATCTACTCTCAGAAAATTTCCAGTATTCAATATAACATTATAATGACAGTCTTTATGTCGTCCCTAAATTTGTAAACTTACTCATCCTACATATCTGCAACTTTGTGCCTTTTGGCCTGTATCTTTTTTTTTTTTTTCTTCTCTACTTCCAACCCCTGGTAACCACTGTTTTATACTCCATATATATTTGACTTGGAAATATATCCTCACATAAAGCAACTCTTAAACAAAAAAAAAGGAAATTCGGTCATTTGTGACAAGTTAGATGAACTTGAGTGACATTATGCTCAGTGAGATAAGCCAAAGATACATACATGCTGCATGATCTCACTTATATATGGAATCTAATGCAAACAAAAAGAAAATCCCCAAATTTACATTTTAATGAACTGAATAAGCTAGCTTTGTTCTGATACCTTCATTTTTTTTTTTTTTTAACTCTAGTTAATCCTGGAGACGTATTACCTCACTTATGTAAAGCTGGAGAATTCCGCTGCAGAAACAGACACTGTATCCAAGCTCGGTGGAAATGTGATGGTGATGATGACTGCCTAGACGGAAGTGATGAGGACACAGTAAATTGCTGTACGTTCCCCTTCAAGCAAACTTAAAGTTGTATTTTCCTGAGCTATTGAGTATATGAATTATCAAAGCAGTTGCAAAAATCTAAAAATACCTTTGATGCAAGTCAAAGTTTTATTTCTCAGTCATCCTATTGCCTGAAGATTAGACCATAGATTAACTCCTTTGCATAGTTTTAAAGCACCATTTTTCACATCCTTTCTCATACTTTATATTATTATTTTAGTGGCTCTGAAAATCTTTTCCTTTTCTGTTCTATGGTGTCAGTGGCACCACACCACTCTCAGGGGTGGTTGTAGGGGCCCTTTTGGATTTTTTAATTTAAAGATGGAGAAAATCAATTTAAA